ACACACACACACACACACACACACACACACACACACACACACACACACACACACACACACACACACACACACAGGCTGTTCTTGCTGTGAAGTCACAAGGAACACACTGACCTAATTTCCCCCCAGTTAGCTCGCCTCGTTGGGGACCAGTGTTCCTCTCCACCCATTTCCCCCAGCCGAGCCTATCAGAGCGCTCCCTCAGTCTGTGTCTCTGGGTCTGTGTCAGTCTGTGCCCTCCATCTGTTTCAGTCTACGCTCAAAGAAAAGATTAGCAGGAAAGTGARGAGTCGTTCTGCTCAAAGTAGCTCATCTCTCTGCGTTGCTAATCACAAAGTATTAACGTTAACTAGACACTTATTCCACAAGAYAAGGCAAGGTGAGATACTAGGCTTACAGGACGAGATGAAATCTTAACTTTTTTTAAGAATAAAAACTTTTGCCGAAACTCAACTAACCGGCATCTCTAGCGTATGATCATGAGAGGTTCAACCTTTATTTTCTCAGCTTCGGTTACCAAATCACCAACTTGATATTAAGTTTTTGCTCTGTTTCAAACAAATGTGCAACAGAGACTCTTCTTTTCAACATGTAGCTGCAGAGACCGCAGATGTGAAAGAGGATGCACAGCTTGAGTGATGTGCAGTTTGGTCCCACCAGTTTGTTTAAAAGAGACAAAACCCACATTTTTAGCCATTAAATACTTTTTGTTGTGCACTTGGAGTCTCTACGAGTGCAGAAAAGTTCAATTTARTCTCTCCTGGTGCTGATTTATATTTCCTTGTGGTCATTTTTCCCAGCGTGTTCGGTTTTCTTTTTTTTTTTTTCTATGACATTTTCTGAACCATTACATGAAATGATTTGCAACTGAATTGCCAAATAAGGTGTGAGTTTACCAACTACAATGTGGTGGTCTTCATCCTCCTCTGGCTCTGGGTCAGACTCTGGATCCAACATGTAAGGCTGGATGGACAAGTCTTCCCTTGTTCACATCTTTTAATTTATTTGTAACATTTCTGTGCTGCTATATAGTRGTAA